AGAAGGTATAATTAAAACAAGGTGCTTCACAGTATACTGGTTAAGATAAAACAAAAAGCGCTATGATAAAGATTAGTATAGAAATACGGAGCACCTGCAATTTGCCATTGACTAAATAGCAACGATGATTCGAAACCGTTCAAAAGAAGCGATCCTGAACATCTTAAAAATGGAAGACTGTTTTATTTTGTAAGGATAATTTGATGATTTAAAGAAACTATACAAGCAGTCAAGATTTTTCAATTTGGGCATAAAAGATAGCATCACAAAATTAAATTTCGGAATCCAGTAACGATATACAAAAAGACGAAAATTATGGATAGCTCAACCTATGAACTATAAAAGAATTAAATAGGATCTGAGAATGCCAAGTCAGCATTTGACTATGCAAAAAAGTGGAACCGAATAATAAAAAGGTAAAAAGAACTTGCAAAGAGAAAGGCTGTTTGATTTCGAAACAGAAAAATTGTCACGTACTAATGGCCAAAATCTTGCAAGTCAGGATGATTGAAAGATAACGTTTTTTAAACAATATAAACGAGAATATATGGATGGTTAGGAGGGAGACTAGGAAGGAAGGACTGAGACAACAAAAGACGGATAAAGCGAATTAACCTCAAAAGAGAGTGAAGAGGAATGAGGCTCAGGTAGAGCAGCCTTCTGGACGGAACAAGCAGAAAGGCTGAGAATGCCCGGCTGCCTGTTTTTTTAAACTTACTTTACTGACTTTTCAGTCCGCCAACAGTGTGCACTTCGCCATCATCTACAAGAAGGCTGGCGAGCCGGTGGATCCGATCTCGGCACTGGTGCAGATAGGCTTCAGTCTCCCACATCATCTGTAACAACAGTCGATTATCAGATGAGTCAAGAGGAAGATCAGCTGAGATGAGTGGGCTAAACCGAAAAAAGGGAATTCCAAGCGAACTGCACCAGGCACGGCAACGCTCGACCACACGACCTAGTGTCGAGGCGAAATGAAGGAGGTTGTGTTTGGGCATGGAAATTCAGTTGAATAAAAAAACTAAGTGAAAACCATGATGGTGTAGGCCTTAGAGACACTTAAAATCGTTTTGGTTTTCTACGTTACTTTGGATAAACTAACTAGACGATGAAATAAACACGTTGTACAAAATTATATT